TAATAATGTTGGCAGTTGAACCAGTGTCAATTTGAAAAGGTATCTCTGAATTTCCAACTCTTAATGTCTTCTGAAAGTTCTCTTTGTCAGCTGGTGTCTCGAGTGTGTACACATATTCATCGCTGTCATCACTTTCTACTTGTTGTTGAGCCTGTTCAATCTTACGGACTTCGTTGCTGGGTTGTTTTCGTCGAGTCGACCTGCAAACACGTGCAAAGTGATTGTACTTTTTGCAATTGTTGCACTGCTGTCCTTCAGCAGGGCATGGTTGATCTTTGTGGGGCCAGGCAAGTCCACATCTGAAACATTTTCTAGTAGGTACCTGTTCTGATGTTCTAGGCAGCTCTCTCTGTTTTGGTTCAGGCCTCTGTGAACGTTGATCATTTGGTGAAGAATTATCTTTGTTGACAGCGTTTATCTCTGCTGACGAGGGCATGTTGAATGAACTATTCGCGATGCCAGATGCTTGTTTTTCAGTCTCCGCAAGAGTCCTAGCATAACTGATCAAATCTGTTAAAGTGAGGCTTGGGTTGCGAAACGAATGTTGCCGAAGCTTCTTACTTGAAGTCCCAAGTTCTATCTGTAATTTAATTTCCGTGTCATGGTCGTGAAACTTGCAGTATTTTGCCGCAATTTGTAAGCGTGTGTGATATTCATCGATGCTTTCGCCTGGGACTTGTTGTAATTTACGAAATTTAAATATTTCAAAGGATACATTTTTCTTCGGAGTAAAATATGCCGTCAATGCATCACAAGCAGCGTTAAAGTTGTTGTTTTCTCCTCGGTCAGGTAGTGTGTCAAAAATATCATTAACACGTTCACCAACATAGTGAAGTAGCAAGGCTCTTTTGCGAGCTGCATCACGAAGGTTCATCGCTGTAACTAGATTGTTGAATCGCTTTAAATACTTCTCCCATCGTACTGCTAAATTTGATGGGTCTTCTACATCAAATTCCGGAAATGATGGAATTGCAGCCATCGTAAATCGTACTGTAATTTGCTAATGAAATCTCATCCTTGTCGCCATTGTTGTAAACACACTTTGTTAATAAACCGCCATCTTACATTCTGCTCCATGAGGCTATATCACGTGACTCCATGATCACCTGATACTACAAGGACACTACAGCTTCTGTGCTCTGGGTGGACGTAAAAACAGTAGAACATGTGTTGTATGTCGCATGTGATGGCGACGTTGTGTTGACGGAATCGAATCAGGACACCATGAAGGTTATTTGCTAGATCAGGGCCAGACAAAAGTTCCTTATTTAGCGAAACTCCATCAAACTCAGCTGAGGAGTCGAAGACGACTCGTATACGATCGGGCTTTTTGGGGTGGTATACGCCGAAGTGTGGTAGGTACCATGTTTTGCTTTTCGTATCCTTGCCTAACGACTCCAGGGGGACTGGGGTAGCATGTCCATGTTGCAACATACCTCCTATGAAGTCGACGTAATCTTTTTCCAACTTAGGGTTCCTCTTGAAACTTTGTATCAATTTGTTGAGTCGTTCTACAGCTTGCACTCGGTTGTTGGGGAAAATGGGGTTTACTGCACGGAGAGGGAGTGAGGTTTCCCTGTTCATTCCTTTTAATAGATCTCTGCATGATCTTGAGGAAACGTTTGTCTTCGATAGACATGGCTTTCTCGTTGTCGTTACTTTGAGTGTGAAACACGTCGTCGTGGTTATCTCTGGGTGCAGGCAATTCTTTAACTACAAATGATTTGAACAAGGCATGACGTCGTTGAGAAGAGGTTTAAGGGAAACAGTACGGGTAGGTATCCTTTCGTCTTCGTTGAAACAAACTGTTCGACACGTTTGAAGATGAACTGGGCCTCCCAAACAATCGATGCAGATCTGACCAGAAACCGTCCATCCCACGAGTAACTTGTGAGCCCATGGTGCGCCTTTGGGACCATTCTTGAACGCTCGTACTCTGAGGATTTCAGGTGCATCACGGCTGATTAGCAGGTATATTTGGGCTTTGGGATCCAGAAGAGGAATTTCCCTTGCTACCTCTTGTAGGTGAGGGAATTTTCTAACTAGTTCTGGAGTGGGGATTTCTCGGATTTCTCGCTTGTCGATCAGCTTCGGGAGTTGAATCGTATCGCCTTTCATGGATTGCATAGACAGACCTTGAATTCTTCGCCCGAACTTGGTCACTTTAGATGCACCACACGTAGACAGGAGGTATTTCTCTCTTGGGCCGGTACAGCCAAGCTTATCTGCTAACTTTGGGGTTATCATAGAAGCGTTGCTTTGTTCGTCTATGATAGCATAAACTTGATGCACTTTATCTGGTTCTCGTTCGAGGAAAACGTCTAATAGGACAATCTTGCAACACGAAAGTCCTTGTGTTCCTGAACATAGTTCGGTACAAGACGATGTTACTTCTTCTTTCTGGTCTTCCCTTCCAGGTTTCTTCTGTTGTTCAAAGTGAAACAGTGTCAAGTGTCGTGCACTGTCACATTTCTGGCATTTTACCGGTACTTTACAGTTCTTTGCAATATGACCTTTAGCGAAGCATCGAAAACAAAGACCCGACTTTTTCGTCCAATCCGATCTTTGTTGTAAAGTCTTCCTTACCAAAGCTTTGCACTCTAAGATGTCGTGTCCTTGACGATCGTGGAACTGACAATGTTTTTCTTCGCTGCTAGGACTTGGGCTTTCGGTATTCCCTTTTAAAATTCTGTGATCTTCGTCTTTGTATCGATCTTTTCTTCCCGATCGAGGGATGTCTGTTCTCACATTCTCATATACTGTAACGTTCGGGTGGTTTTTTAGTCGCGCATACTTTCGAACTTCTCTAGCGAACACTTCGAAGTCAGGATATAGGTCGTAGTTCGTAGAGGCAAATTCCATGACTTGCTCATCCCATTTTCGCTGTAAATGACCTGGCAGTTTCATGACCAACAGGCGAATGACATTCGGGTAGTTAAGACATTTGAGGCCAGGGAGTTGCTTCATCTGGTCGCTCACGTTATCGCAGAGATCTGAGAATTCCTGAAGTTTCTTCACATCTTTCTCACCGAACCGTGAGGCATCCTTGAGGCGTTGAAGGAGGGCGTTCGTGATTGCAGCTACGTTTCCAAAGCGTCTCTCCATCTCGCTCCACAGCTCTTTAATAACTTTAAATTGGTTATCGTCTATTCTCTTACGATAATTGTCGATAAGTTTCTGGGGTTCTTCAGATGTATATTTGTGTAAGTAGTTTATCTCCTGTTCTGGTGAGATTTCGGCATCGTAAATCATAGCCTGGAATGCCTTCTTCCAAACGTGAAACATTGCAAAATCACCACTAAACACGTCGGGATGGCACTTTGGAAGATTTTGACGAGCCAAACTTGCTGATAGCTGCCGGTTTGTCTCTGCGATTGCCAACATGCATCCTTGGACGGTAATGGGATCATCATCTGGTCGTCCTCCCCTTGCACGGGGTTTTAGCCCCAAACGAGGGTCTAAGTAAGATGGATGTTAGGTATCTGCGGCGAGATAGGTGGGCCTACCAATCTCCAAGGTTTTATAGGCGCCAGGGTTGATCTCTCTGTTATGGGACGGTTTTGGTTCGAGATTATGTTCTTGGTCTTTAACCCACTGCCGTACGTGTTCTTCATCTCCATCGTTGCTTCTGGGATCTCACATAGACATTTTCTCCTCAGACAACGATTGTTCGATTGTGCTGATCTTCGCTGTTGCCATAGCGGCACATTGCTCGGCTTTCAAGACTGCCATTTTGTGATCGTGTTGGGCTTTCAAGGCTAAGCTTCGTTGTTTCTCTGCCGCTTCGTGTAGCTTGATTTCGTTTTCTTTCTCCGTGATCACAAGGTCGAATTCTGCTTGTTCTTTTTCTGCGGCTGCGTCAGCCATTGCCTTCAGCTTGGTCGCTAATAGAGAACTCCTGGAACTACGACTTGATCTCTTGACGTGGTTTTCGTGGAAGGAGTAGGTTCGTTGTCGTGGGAAGTCGATATAGGTTCTGTCGTTTTGGTTGGGTTTTTAGGCAACAGTTCAGCTAGCTGGTTCTCGGCGCACTTTATTGCATTACTAGCAAGGTCTCGTATCTTGGGAGCTATGCTGTCGCATTCTCCCCATCTATCGTTCGTAAACAATGTTTCTAAATCTTGGAACGAACTTCGATATCCTCTGATTGTTACTTGTAGCGTTATATGAGCTTGTTCTACATTTGAATTCTCTTCTTGTACTTTTTCTCAAGCTTCTTCAACTGCACGTAAAAGCACCTTTGTCTCCTTGTCGAAGGCGGCTACTTTGTTGTCTAGGGCGTATTTAAATCCTCTCCACGTCTGCACATGTTCCCGTGGGCGGTCACGGCTGTCTGGGTCTGCCGCTTGAATGTCATTATCGGCAGCTTTCGAGTGAGAATTTGACGACTTTCGACTCATCTTTTGCACTTTACAAACGACGAAAGACTTGCTTGATCCTTTAGACTTTTTACTATCGCGTCTTTCGATTAAAATTAAGAGCGAAGTAATAACCGAAACACATTCTGCACGTAGTATTTATTAATATAATATACAGTCCAACTACAGACAGAGATTAACGAAACGAAATAACACTAAGACAATGTAGTTGTGTTCTCGGTAAAAAGTCTAAGTTGTCTGTCCCGAGTCTATATCCAAGATAGTTCAATAGTAGAGTGATAATGGTCTAACTCTGACGACTGTTTAACGATAATGACAAAAACAACTTGGTAAAGTCTGGTGCAATAACAAGAATGCTAATTAAACATGCATATGAATTAATTACCAATACATAATGACGTCAATTAGTAACGCCGGAAATATAATTAAGCTAACGTTTGAATAAGGTTTGAATAAAGTTTGAATAAACCATGACAAGGATATCATACAATATCTTGGTTGGGTTATCATAGAATATCTTTGGATACCATACAATATCTTAGGATGTCATGCAATACCTTAATACATCATCCAGTATCTTAGATGGTGAAACATCTCAAACAAGTGACAATATATATTAGAAGCATAACTTTGTGAACGTTTTGAAGAAATGCATGTGTTTTAAATCTAAATTATTGTGCAAATTTATGTCCGCAAAGCGGCGCGCCCGATTTTAAGGCCCAAGCCCGTGTAATAAATAATCCCTATCTATTTTGCAATCCATAACGACTGTTAATGAAGTTTGGGGTATATATTTTCAATTTCAACAAATAAAATTTCGATATATCTTGCACATAACCTGTAATAACTTTCCGTTCCTTAGCATTTTTTTCTGTATCGAGCTCGCTGGGTGAAATGAAAAATTGTATCCACATTGGAAGGACGGGTCAATCACTTATTAATGACTCTGTAATATGCAAATATTGACCAATAACAACGGCGTTGACAACCATGTTAACTTGGGATTAGCAACTGCTTAGTTCTGTTTAAAATATGTCTCGAATTTTATGACGAATAGATTCCTCGCTATCATTTTGTAAACACATGAAAGCTAAATAGGCAATGATACGACCAAAATTTGTAACATTGATCTCTCTGTAGACTTGTTCAAGGTTTGTATCACGAGTTATCATTTCACGGTATAGATCTTGATATTGGTTGATCCTTGTATTATTTATATGAAACGATAGAGTTTGCTTATCGTCATCAATTTCATTTCGTTTCAACTCGTCAAAAATTATATCTATGTTATCAATTGACCGTTAATAAACTGAGACTGTGCTTACATCAAATGTTTGGAAAATTTGCAGAGACGCTAACGTGGGACGCTTATTCAAAAGCGATTACTTCTGTGATAAAAATGCTGACCTTAGCTTAATATGACTTTCTTGGCCAGGCTCGCCTTGCATATCATTATGACGCGGCCAGAGGTCGCGGAAGCATTTCGAAAGTGGAGGTGCATTGACCTGAAGGGGCACTTTTGTATATGACCAAAATAAACGATTTTATGACCAAAATCAAACGAATTTTATGACGTTCACGAGCCGAACGAATTTTTTTTAAAATATGGAGTCTCTATAACGTCTGCAATGGCCATTACGAGTCTTTACTACTGCGAAAAGAGCATTTTCTTTCCCGAAACGGAGGGCGTTTATTCAAGAAATACTTTTTTTGTTCTGTAAATGTGGCATTTAAGCCCAGAAAAAGGGCACTTTTTCACTTTTAAAAAGGGGGGGGGGTTACAGGCCCCCCCCCCCCAGGTCCGCGGCCACTTATGACGCCATGCTTTCGCATCCTCACTTGTATACAAAGTAGTGCTCACTTTCATTTACCGAATATTTAATGAACGCACCCTCATTCACTCTCATTTTTCAGAATATTTAAATACCTCACATTCACTCACTCTCATTTTTTTTATATTTAATTACCTCACCCTCACTCACTCTCTCTCGCTCTCAAAAATCCGGCCCCAAAAACACCTATATTACTACTCACAGAGTATCGTATGCCGAAACTCTCGTACGTGTAGATCCTGTCGATAGCGTGGATTAAAACGTAAGCCTGAATAGAACAGTCCCAGTTCATGTTACGTCACGCAATCTTCCTTTTCGTGAATACGCGAAATTTTAATAACATAATTTCTGTCTCTGCACAATCTAATCTTTCAACGAATATAGTTTGTCCTGTTTTGTACCTTGTATAATGCTTTCAAATGCACTGTCCCTTGCTCCTAAGCTGGTGGAAGCGGAAGAATTTATCTTACGAAATCGAGAGAGTATAAAAAGCCCCTTGGTCACATGAATATTAAAGTTCTATCAGTGCCCATCACGACTGTGAAAGCATGCTTTCCAATTTCGAGGAGATCGTAAATGTTGGTATGAATATCATCATGCCTAAAAATCGATACGTATATATATCCTATAGCTTAAAAACTTGATCCTAAGCTTAAAAGGTTGATCCTATCCCGCCAGGCAGCTAGCCTTTGACGTGGCAATTTAAGGCTTTAAGGGATGCAGTAAACAGAGAAAGGAAAATTTGTAAAGCAAAATTTACCGGTCTAAGGTACGTGATTTGAAAGGTGAGGATTCCAGAAAATGGTAGAAAGAGGACAAGAGGTTGAGTGGTTATTACAGGAATAGCTCTCCTAACTTGATTGATCAACCGGTCCCTGAATTTCGCGATTTGCCACACTAAGAAATTGACAACGCATTTAATTTAGCCTTGTTGGAACTGCCCTTGATCCTTCCATAGCGCAAGTGCGTGTGGAAGAGGACGATGAAACTAAACGCCTGTAGTTATTCCAATGCGAGTTGAACAAACGCAAATCATCTGGCTCAGGTAGTTTTCCGAACTGGCTTCCCAAATAATTTGCTGATGTTCTGGTAGATCAAATCACTAATATAATGAATGCTTCCTTTAGAGAACAAGTGTTATCAGCTTCCTCGAAACACGCTAATATATCGCCAATTCCGAAGACCAAACAAGTCATGAACCCCAAACAAGAACTTCGCCCGATTTCACTTACACCTACAGTACTATTTCCAAAATTGCAGACGATTTTGTAGTGTTGGATTACATCAAGCCTGCAGTTATGAAGATTATTGATGTCAATCAATTTGGCACCATTTCAAATTCTTCCTATCACTACAACGGCCATTATAAGCATGCTTTATAAATGGTACGGTGAAACAGATGGCACTGGTCCAACTATCCGAGTCTTGTTTCGTGACTATCGGTAAGCATTCGAACTTATAAATCACTCTTTACTCGCTGATAAGCTTAAACATTTGGATATTCCGGATTGCGTCATGAACTGGACCATTACTTTTTTTAACTGGCAGATCACAAAGGATTGTACTTGGTAATGAGTCCTTCTTGGAATGGGGATAGGTACCATCTGCTGTACCTGAATGGACTATAAGCTATGTCATAATATATTTCATAATTTCCAGTCTTAAATCCGTCTGACCGTGTAGCTCAGTTGGTAGAGCGTCCATCTCGTAATTCGAAGGTCGCGGGTTCAAGATCCAGCCACGGCGGACAACATCTTTCTGCTTGCGCTGGGTATGGAAATTATATAATACACACTCTAGAACATTTTCATTTTAACATATTACAGAGTGTACAATAACACAATTAACATATATATATATATATATATATATATATATATATATATATATATATATATATATATATATATATATATATATATATATATATATATATATATATATATATATATATTCATGTAATATTACGTGAGATACAAACGTTTGAATGTGGCGTACGCTTTAAAAATGAGTAAAAAAATCGAGAAACATGACTGATCAAATTTATATGAAAACAAATTGCCATTTTCCACAAAAATTAACAATTTCAATTTCAGCATTTCAACTCAACTTTATAGGGTAATGTCCTAGTTATAAGTTACCCTTTCGTGTTTCTTGGAAAGCGAAATAAGCATGAAAAATTTAACAACGTTCGAAAGCATATTTGACGTCCTTTGAGAGTTCGTGTTATAAAGTTGGTCCTCGTTCGCCTTTCGAATATGCTTCGATTAACAAAAGATCAAAGAGTTTGGCTTTTATGTTTTCCCGTGCAAGACATTGTATACGTGCAAGGGGACATACTTTCTATGATAAATGAATAAATGTTTATCCAACAATTATGTTTTTTATTCGTTCTTTTGGCCACAATAAAACTATATAATCAAGTTTAACCAAATAATATTTGATTGGCAATTTTATGCAAAGTTTTAGCATTGTCAAATATACTTATTCGATTTAAACTGATCCGGATAGCTCAGTAAATATTGGACACATATTCAAATGTTATATAATTATCAAAATCTAAGTTGGCCCTTTCTGAATGCAATAAAACTTATTTGAGTGCAATAGCTTTTATACTTTTTATGTTACATTAAATCAAACAGCGCAAGTTTTTTTTGGGACACCCTGTATATATATATATATATATATATATATATATATATATATATATATATATATATATATATATATATATATATATATATATATATAATTCAGTCAAGGTTTGAATGTTTGCGTCGCTACTCTGAGTTAAGTGAGTTTAACGCTTAACGCGATCATCAGGCAACGTTGCCTGATGATCGCGTAAAGCGTGAAACTCATGAGTAGCCACGCAAACATTCAAACCTTGACTGAATTAATTCCGCTCTACTTATTATGGTATTGAGCGCTCTTCTACCTTACGTCAACTCATCGACTATTTTTTTAAAAATAGTCTTCAGTGTATATATATATATATATATATATATATATATATATATATATATATATATATATATATATATATATATATATATATATATATATATATAATAACTAATCACCTGATGACTCCTATACGCGGATGAATAAGAAGACAAACTTGAATAACTTCATATGAACTTTATTTCACTACAAATTTGTTTCGTATGATTCACCTGATGAGTGTGGCAAGACTCGTCTTGTCATACGAAACAAATTTGTAGTGAAATAAGGTTCATATGAAGTAATTCAACTTTGTCTTCTAATCTTGTCAGCTCTACTACGGTATTGATTCCAAACTCGATACTTGTCTACAAACCATTTGCGTCCGGTCCGGTCATCATTGTAGCAGCATATAATGGCATCCGAGCATTAAAGTCGTACAAAATAGCAACGGTGCCCCCCTCGCATATCGTGTTCACATTTGTTGCGCCGTTGGCGTCTACCAATGCAAAATTTTCCATCCCGTCAGGGTGTCCTTGCCCGTTTGTGATTGCGTTAGTGGTCATGTTACACGCACTAGCGAATTTACAAATGCAAGTTAATAATCCACTTGTGGAACAGGCACGGGAAATTTTAGCTGAACTACCAGGGCTTTTACTATTACTAGGACGTTTACGACTGGCTGCAGCTTTATTTAGACGAAGAAGTTTAACTGTACCAGTACCACCGCCTATATGAGGACGTTTAACTCCACCACGGTTTCCACCTAGACCTGCACCAGTGTTTCCACCTAGACCTGAACCAGTGTTTCCACCTAGACCTGCAGCCCCAGTGTTTCCGCCTAGACCTGCACCAGTGTTTCCACCTTGACCTGCAGCCCCAGTGTTTCCACCTGGACCTGCACCAGTGTTTCCACCTAGACCTGCACCAGTGTTTCCACCTAAACCTGCACCGGTGTTTCCACCTAGACCTGCACCAGTGTTTTTACCTAAACCTGCACCGGTGTTTCCACTTAAACCTGCACCGGTGTTTCCACCTAGACCTGCACCAGTGTTTTCACCTAAACCTGCACCGGTGTTTCCACTTAAACCTGCACCGGTGTTTCCACCTAGACCTGTACCAGTGTTTCCACCTGGACCTGAACCATTGTTTCCACCTAGACCTGCACCAGCACCTTGACTTACACGAGGACGTTTAGCCGCACCAGTGTTTGCACCAGTGTTTCCATCTAGAACTGCACCAGGGTTTCCACCTGCACCAGCGTTTCCACCCAGACCTACACCAGCATCTTCGCCTTGACTTGCACGAGGACGTTTAGCTGCACCAGTGCTTCCACTTAGATCTGCATCAGGGTCTCCACCTAAACCTGCACCAGTGTTTTCACCTGCACTAGGGTTTCCACTTAGACCTGCACCAGTGTTTCCACCTAGACCTGCATCAGGGTTTCCATCTAGACCTGCACCAGTGTTTCCACCTAGACCTGCATCAGGGTTTCCATCTAGACGTGCACCATGGTTTCCACCTGCACCAGGATTTCCACCTACACCTGCATCAGGGTTTCCATCTAGATGTGCACCAGGGTTTCCACTTGCACCAGGGTTTCCACCTAGACCTGCACCAGCACCCACAGCTTGACTTACACGAGGACGTTTAGCTGGACCAGTGTTTCCACCTAGACCTGCATCAGGTTTTCCATCTAGACTTGCACCAGGGTTTCCACTCAGACCTGCACCAGTGTTTCCACCTAGACCTGCACCAGTGATTACACCTAGACCTGCACCAGTGTTTCCACCTAGACCTGCACCAGTGTTTCCACCTAGACCTGCACCAGTGTTTCCACCTTGACCTGTACCAGGGTTTCCACTCAGACCTGCACCAGTGTTTCCACGTAGACCTGCATCAGCACCTGCATGAGCACCTGCACGTATCCTGGAAGTTGTACCCCACATGATGTTGCTTGCTGTGATTATGATTATTAGGACAAATGAAATCTCCATGTCCTCTGTGAAGTAAAAGTATATAGTCACAAATCACTGATGTCAAAATTTCGACTGGGGGTACCAGAACCACGGGAGCAGTTTCTCCCGACGCCCAAACAATACGTAGTAGGGAGTTTGGCAACCTAGAACGGCAACGGCAAAATATAATTGCTTATATTGTTGTATTTGAGGCACAGTATACGTTACTACGCCTAATTTCCCTCTTTAAGTATTCCTGTTTCATTCAAACAGCCCTTAAATAAAAATAGTCCACGAATTCGAATAAAACACCGCAAATAACATCGAACGAATTAACTGTTGCCGTAGTCATGCAGCGTGAAAATGTGCAAATCATGCACGTACTAGTTTCAACAGCTATAGCATTGCACAACGCTTAAGATCATGTAATTTACATTCGCTTTTGTCTTTGAGGATCAATGCTATTGTTGATGACCACGTTGTCGTTGCCGTTGTATTTGCCGAACTCTCTATTTTTGAGGGGAGGTGCGCACCTCCCCTGAGATCGTTTTGCACCTCCCTTGAGAATTATTGCACCTCCCCTGAGAAGTCATGCACCTCTCCTTGGTAAAGTCTCAATGATAGATCAACAGGGATGCCGGAAGTTGCTGAGGGAAAGGGGTGCAATTGGTTAACAAGAGGGCATACTCCTTAGTAAAAGGCACCAATGAAAATGAATTTAATGAAAGGGCGTCATGATCCTACATTCGTACGTGTCAACCTCCCTCCCCGTCACCAAATGTTTTCGGACCGAATATATAATTATTTAGGCACAGTTCCTCCGTAATTTTTCGCCAAAAATTCCATAAGTAATGCTTTCCGTTTTACCTTTCGCCAAATGGATAACAATTTTGCCGAATTCCTGACGACTGGGGGTGGAACACCCCCACACACGTCCTTGAACGACGTTTAATTCTGTCTGTTGTAAAAGTTTTGTGCACCCGTTACACACATAGTCTGCACCCGCACTGCACCCACAAAGTTGAAAATGCAAAAGGCAAGGGGTGCACTTGCACCCGCTGCACCCGTGGTTCCGGCATCCCCGTAGATCAAAGTGAAAATTTGACATTTTTTGTTGCTTGGGGTTTACACTTTGTTTGTCACACATGTTTTGAAAGAAACATTGTAGAAATTGTAACGAAGGACAACATTATATGAGTTGTACAGTCATAATTCATTAATACACTGATATGTACAGTATATGTTGCATGGGATTTGTGAGCTAAACTACTTCACCTCCACCTCATTTTTTCCCACCTAGCTCCCCAACTATTTCCACCAAAATCCGGCCTTGATATTGGTAGAGGCTCCTAATTTCTGGTCATTTTTGACAATGGACATATATTACATGTCTAGTTAACGGGGGCGAAACTAGCCCCTCTTAATTCTGGGGGGTGTCTGCCAGAATTGCCCTGCCAAAACCGATAATGCCCTGCAGAAAATTTTATTTCTGACACCATTTGTTTCCCAAAAATGTTGGCGAATGGGGGGGGGGGGTGGTGTTGGTTAAAAATATTTTTACAGACATTAAACAATTCATCAAAATATTTTTCCGGACATAAACCAGTTAACTTAAGATTCCGAAAAAAATTTTCCGTACAAATTCCTGTTAAAACATGGATGAAACCCTTTTTTTTGGATCAATATCTGTAAAATTTAGGTCTATGATTCTAAAAAATTCTGAAAACCCTGTAAGTTACTTAATAACTCTACATTCTATACCATTTACAATATTTGATTGCCCTGCCAATCTAGATGATTGCCTTGCCAATCCAGATGATTCGTATTTTTTTGGGGGGTGTCACACCCCCATACAACCCACCCCCCCTCAAGTTTCGTCCCTGCTATAGTTAGAGCCTCAAATGAACCGGGCTGGCCCGTTAAACCGGGCTAGCTCGATTTGCCAGCAAGTTGTTATCTGTTTCACATGAGGCGGGCCAACCTCGCAAGCCAGGGTCTCGAGGTTGCCAGGGTCTTTACTTCCGCACGACGCTAAGTAAAGACCCTGGCTTGCGGGATTGGAGGCGGGCTAGCCCAGCAAGCGCTATAGATATTCCCGTGCGATTTTTGGCGGGAACGCTATATTTGTTTTAATTTTGAAAAATGCTATTTTTATTATTTATATTTTATTAATATGACGGAAACTGTTTCAGAAGTTTTAATATTGTTGATTTCTTACTTATTTTTAATTATTAGATGCTTTCTAGACAGAATAAAGCATGCGTTGTGACACAATTCTGGCCTGCTATGTGTGTTCATATAATCCGGTTCTCAAGCGAATCAAATCTTGAGGCGAGATTTCGATCGCCACTTGCGAGTCAGCCCGGTTTACCAAGTCCGGTTTACTACTTGCGAGTCAGCCCGGCGAACAAGCCTTAGAAATGGGTCGGTACAGTGGCCTCTCTTTCGTCTTAAATTTCCCAATGAATAGGGTGCAGATTGGTCAAAATTATAGATGATAAATTAATGCATACAACTTGGCATAATGCTAAAGTATACCCTAAGGACGCTTTTTGGCAATAGGGGCATTACAGATTAGCACCTTTACAAAATTTTGTTTTTCTTTGTAATTTAACCGTTGTGGTTTAACCTTTTTGGGTTACAAAGTCAATAATCATTAAATCAATTCAATTCATCTATATTATAGTACTATCCTAAAAAAGTGAAATTTCAAAGTTCACCGTTTTAGAAAATATCACCTACATCGTTAGAAAACTTGCAAAAAGCTAAATATAGAACATTTAAACGATTGATCGCTACGATTTTCGACATCGATTTTAAGTTACATATATAAGATTGTAAGTTTTATATATACTTTAAGTAAATGATACGTTTTTTCATACACCCTCTGTATCCTTTGTCTCATTAAATTAAAACCATTTAAACTTTCTTACCTTAAAAAACTGCAAAAATAAAGACTTTTAACAACGAGCTTTTCAAAGATCTAAATAATCTGCGATAACTGCACGCCTTTACTGAACTGTTACTTAAAAATATTAGATTTTGGCGTTCTTTTCAAAAAAATGTCAGCCGGTTCATTGAACCATTCTTAGCTACCCTGAAGCCGTTAACATTTTGGAAAGATTCTGTAAACTATTTTGACAGCCTTGTCTGCTGTTGTTTAACAAAATTACATACGCTCTTTTTAAATTTACCCCTTATACAAAGATTCGTGGGATCAAATAATCCCTGCAATTTTTCTTGGGATTTTTTTGCCAAATTCTCAGGGATTTTTTGGTGATTTTTTCATGATTTTTTAAAAATATTGTTCTTCTCTGCCAGTCTTTTGTTGTCGAACTTTTTCCTTACGCTTTCATAAAAGCAGAACTTTATATATAAACAATCATAAGTAAAAATAAGCGAATGAATAATTATTAAATATGCAAGCCAAACACGCGTTTGTCGTCATTTTTCTCCCCGGATCCTCATTTGATAAAAAATGTTACATGAAGTGTTGGATGAACATGAAGATTAGTTCGAGGGAATGTGGAATTGATTATTGATATTTAACAATTATTCGCCGAAGGCGAGCTAGGTGATTATCGGGGAATATTCGCCGAGACGAAGTCGAGGTGAATATTCCCCGATAATCACCGAATAATTGTTTTAGTATTTTTGTGGGTTTTTTTTATTGAATTCATGATTTTAATTTCGCTTATTTCTTTATCAGTATAACAGAATATAACAGCTTAATACGTCAAATTTGACCAGTCAACGTGTAGGACTTGTTGATATGTTCACTTGTGCAAAAATACTAAAAGGGTTTAAGTAGGATCTTTCCATGTGAGATTTTTCAAAACTTGATCCGGGATTCATCGATTTTGCAATGATATTGATTTGAAGTTTTTATTGATTGATCTTTTCCGAGCATTTTCTGAAGTATTTAGAGATTTCATAGGATTTTTTTGGATTCTGGGATTTTATTGAAATTATAGTAAGATTTTGAGGTTTTTTAAAAGTTTTTTTTTATTCTTGGCGAAGTGTACGAAGATTTGACGAAGTGTACGAAGACTCTGGGCGCAGTCAAATCTTTTGAAGTGTAAAGTTTTTGAGGTGTAAAGTGACATGTGCATGCTAAGCCTTATTTTACAAATAAAGCAAATTAGTTCGACTTTTATTTTCGGCTCGGCTCTCTTGACAAGTGTTGCGCCAAGTAAATCCTGCAGGCTGGCCGCTTAATAGAGGTAAAAATTGACATAAAACATCATTTGGGACCGCTCTTTGGGTGGCCGCGGCCGCTTAATAGAGGGGGCCGTTTAATAGAGGGATAGTTTATAGTATTTGTATTACAAATATTTTGGGACTTCAATATGTGGCCGTTTAATAGAGGGTGGCCGCTTAATGGAGGACCGCTTAATAGAGGTTCGACTGCGGAGTTTCACATATGATTTCACATATGAAATCCATATATGTGGAATATTGAAACACTTCACATGTGAAATTTGCACATGTGAAATTAATTTTAAAAATTAAGATCAGACAACATGCAACTATATATAGAACTATTTTCTCAGTGTGAAATTACAAGGAAACGCTGCCTTCTTTTAAATACATATATTTTCCAATATTGACTGCAAATACTGCGTGAAAAAAAAATTTCAATTTCATGTTAGCCTAATATTGAATATTAATATATTGATTTAGAAACAAATTGCCTTATTCTTCCGGTATGTGAATTAGGAATATCATATTGGTTTCATGTCACATTTGAATTAAGGATTTATGTTCAATGTCACATGTGAATTAAGGATTTATGATTTCAAATATAGTCATAAGGATTTCTTATGTGAAAGTGAGGATTTCATATGTGACTATTAAATTATGTGATTTTCAAATTAAAATTTCGCATATGAAATTTTTTACATGTGAAATGAAGTTTTCACGTGTTATTTAATTCCACATGGGAAATTTAGGCTATATATGAAACACTATTTTCATATATGATTTTTTTTTATTTTACATGCAAAATTCACTGTTTAATTAACATCATAGTTGATACGAACGTTTCACATGCATATGAAACCATGTGAAAATTTCGTACAGGCAAGCTTTTCGTTATATTTGTCGTAATTTTAATTGGCCTCTAACTTAATTGAGGGTCCTGAAGAGATAAAATGGGAACTGGGATTGATTTATATTTAGACTGGGAAAATGGGATTTGGGTTGCTGGGACTGGGATTTGGCCACTGGGAATGGGAAATGAAGTCCTCAAAAATGGGAATGGGATTGAGGTAATGCGAGTCGATTCTCAATTTTTCTGCGTTTTGAGCATTTTAAAATACAATTTTCAGCCGTTTTTGGTGTCTTTGGTCATGATTTTTGTTGTTAGCTATATTATTCACAGCACTACCTGCGAACAGGCATACTCTGGCGCGCGGAATTCTGGGTTTTCTGATTATGCATGTCTCAGAATTCTGCAAATGCTATTTCCAGGATTCAAATTTAAAAATTTTCCGTGCCTTCGGCACGAGCCCCCGACTAATATTTCATAAAGTGTCCACCACTTGCTTAAAAGGTCTTAAAACTGTTTATTCTACCGATAAATAAAGGATTTTTTATTGACTGGGATTTCAATAACTGGGACTGGGATTTCTAATAAAAATCCAACTGGGACTGGGATTTTGCCAAAATTTCAGGTGGGAAATGGGATTGGGACCCCCCCTTCAGGACCCTCTTAATTACTTTTCCGAAAAGGTATACGGATAAAGTTAATTACAATAAATATACCCTCTACCATTTGTTTCATTAAAACCATTTAAACTTTCTTACCTTAAAAAACTGCAAAAATAAAGACTTTTAACAATGATCTTTTCAAAGATCTTGATCTTCTGCGATAAATGATAATCGCATGCATGCTTAAATGCATGCTTAAACTGAATTTTGGTGGGTTTTTTTAAGAAATGCATGTCAGCCGGTTCATTGAACCGTTTATAGCTACCCTGAAACCGTTAACTTTTTGGAAAGGTTCGGAGCGTAGAGAAAAGAGCCTGGGAACGTGGTTGAGGTTTGGTAAATTATTTGACTGCTGTAGTCTCCTACGCATACCTACTTAGCGGGCTGTGCCCGCTAAAGTAGGTCTGCATAGGAGACTAGGTACGAGGCGGATGTAGATGGAAATTATCCAATGGAAATTTATCGATGGAAATTATCGAATTGAAACTGTGATAATCGCATGCTTAAAATTAAATTTTGGTGGGTTTTTTTTAAGAAATGTCAGCCGGTTCATTGAACCGATTTTAGCTACCCTGAAGTCGTTAACTTTTTGGAAAGGTTAGGTAAATTATTTTGACAGCCTTGTCTGCTGTAATCTCCTACGCATACGGCATATCTACTTAGCGGGCTGTGCCCGCACAAGTAGGTCTGCGTAGGAGAAACTTATCCTTGTACGTGTATTTATTAGACTTTACCAGAAACAGTTGTGAATGCGTATTATATTTATTAGGGACCGTTCATTATTTATACCCGGAGCCGAAGAGAAGCGAAAACACATTAAATTTTTTATTTACCCAACCTCAACATTGGTCAAAATAATGTTTACCCAACCCGGCCCATGTGTTACTGTATTTCGTAATAATTAAACACACAAGATTATGGTGACAAAAATCAAGTTGCCTAAATTTTAAAAGCACACTCAGACTCAAACTCACTGAGTCAGTGTACCAAAGCAATCACTTTCCTGCTGATCAATGATAGAGTCATTCCTCAATCACAGATGGTCTATCCCACTGGGCACACGACGTTGTTTCAACGTTGAAATTTGGTAGAAAAAAGGTTGCGACGTCGACAACCTAATATCTACGTTGCTCTGACGTTGTTTTACAAACATTGGTTCAACAGCAGCCAACAGACGTTGAATTAACGTTCATTCATGGTTAAATGTACGACGTCGATTTGTGAACCAATCTCAACGTTGTTTTAACGTGGATTAAACGTTGGATTATGCAAGGTTGACGAGATTGGCAACCTAATTTCAACGTTGTTTCAACGTCGAAACAGTAACGTCGATCCAATTTGCATAGTCAGTTAACCCTTTTTCAACGTCTATCCAATGTCTGGAAGGTCATTTCCAACGTTGATTCAACGTTGGATAAACGTCATTTTGCTCGCTGGGATATTGGAACAGAGTGTATTGTATAGGCTATACATTTTTCTTCATATTTTCCAATGCATGGTAATTTTAGTTTTATTTTATAGCTGCATGACAGACAGCCATAAATTTTTTTACCCAAACCATGAGCTAGTCAAAAATTTGATTACCCAACCCATATCTCTTCGGTACCAACCCCGCGGGTATAAATAATGAACGGTCCCTTATATGCATGCGATAAGTCGGTGTTGTCAAGAATGTTGCTTGCTTAATTCTTTCTTTACATAGGGATGATTTAATGGATTATAATAAGAATTTTTGATTGGGGACGGGATCTAGCCTAGAGGGTCCGCTTGTCATTCCATGACTTGAATAAACACATTTTGTCTCTCTTACCGGCGAAAAATACCAACCGACCTGGAACTCCATTGCCCCATGTGTCATAAACTCCTTTCCAGTTGTTTTAATTAATAAGTTTGGAACAAGCTGACCTGTTAACAACTTGTCACTACTTAAGTTTGATGGCATTATCAGACTTGTTACAAGGTTGACCACACAAGGTTGTCACAATATTGTTGTATCATGACTGTATTGGACTTGTTGGAATAACCTTGCAACAACAAGTCTGATAATATCGACAGGTTGTTACAAGTTGTTAACAGTTTGTTCCACACAATTTGCTGACAACTTGGGACAAGCAGTGCGAACACAACTTGTTGACGGCTTGTTGGCAAGACTTACCACAAGATGTAAGATTTTTACGCGGTGTTTTGTTCGCACTGCTTGTTCCCAGTTGTTGTAACAAGCTTGGAGCAAGCTTGTTGACAACTTGTGACAAGCTTGATGACATTATCAGACTTGTTACAAGATTGTTCTAACAAGTTTGATACAGTCATGATATACATCAAGAATGTTACAAGCAGGGGCGTAGCCAAGGGGGGGCAAGGGGGGGCGACCGCCCCCCCCCCCAATCGCAAAAAAACCCATTCTCTGAAAAAGGCTAAATCCGTAGAGAAATGGGGGGGGGGGGTACACGTTACATTCCCGAAGCTGAAACTGATTAAGTACGTCGCGCGACTGAGGAAAACGAGGATATACTGGAGGAACTTGAATTGTAAAATCTCGTTAATTAAAGCAGTTTTAGATATGGTTCCAAGAAGACAAGATTTAGTTTAGATTTACGTGTATGCATTATCATCGCATGAATATTCTTGTCAGACTTATTCTGTATCGTATGAAAAAGCAACGCAATTTTGAGAATGCGGAAATGCTGTCTCATAGAATCTAGAATGATTTAAATGCGATATTTCTGATCACAATGACATTGGCATGTCCGGAAAAAATTTTGGACCCCTAAAATGGTACACTGACCGAAATTTTTTTGGCGACGGGGGGGGGGGTCGCGAAAAATAAATTGTTCCGGGAAAATTTTTTTCGGACGGCCCTGTCTCGCGCCTTCGGCGTTCGCTTCGCCCCCCCAAAAAATGAAGGTCTGGCTACGCCACTGGTTACAAGGTTGACGACACAAGTTCGTAACAATATTGTTATATCATGACGGTATCGGACTCGTTGGAACAACCTTGCAACAAGTCTGATAATATCAACAAGCTTCTTACAAGTTGTTAATAGCTTCTTCCAAACTTGTTGACACCTTGTCACAAGCAGTGCGAATATAACTTGTTGACGCATTTTTGCCAGGTAGACTTGCTACACTGAGATGTGAGATTTTTGCGCGTGTTGTGTTCGCACTGCTTCAGTGAGCCTGCGACGCAGGCTACAATGTTCCCAGTTGTTGTAACAAGTTTGGAACGAGTTGTTAACAGCTTGTAACAAGCTTGATGACATTATCAAACTTGTTACAAGAATGTTCTTACAAATCTGATAATCATGATACAACAAGATCCCGTGTTACACTGAAGGTTGACGACACAAGGTCGCAACAATATTGTTGTATCATGACTGTATCGAGCGTGTTGGAACAACCTGGCGACAAGTCCGATAATAGACAACTGTTAACACAAGTTGTTCCATACTTGGGACAAGCAGTGCGAAGACAACTTGTTGACGACTTGTTGGCAGACTTGGTACAAGATATGTGAGATTTTTACACGGTGTTTTGTCCGCACTGCCTGTTCCCAGTTGTTGTAACAAGTTTGATGGCATTATCAGACTTGTTACAAGCTAGATTATTCTAACAAGTCTGATACAGTCATGATATAACAAGAATGTTACAAGGTTGATGACAAGGTTGTGACAATATTGTCCGCATATCATGACTGTATCGGACTTGTTGGAACAACCTTGCAACAAGTCTGATAATATACAACCGTTAACAAGTTGTTCCATACTTGGGACAAAAATGCGAGAACACCTTGTTGACGACTTGTTGGCAGGGTTAGCACTATTTCCCATCCAGCAAACCGCCCTAGCGATTTTCTAAAGTTGTTTCGTTTTGGAGTTTTGTTATTAATTTGGTTAAGGTTACAGTTTGGGTTGCGGTTGGGGTAAGGGGTTAGAGTAGGGGTAGGGTTTGGGTTAGTTACATAGCCATTTAACTCTTCCATCAATGACGTCAGGTCAGTTTGCTGGATGGAAAATAGTGCTGACCGTGTGGCAAGTGGAAACACAATAAATGTCATTTTGAATGATGTTGTTGAGTGTTCTTTTACTGGTGACAACATTGACACAAAGGTGAACCATTTCAACATAACAAATTTGACATAAACTTTGAAACAGAATTCTATTTTATCATGTGAAGAACATGGATGAATTGCTTGTACAAATATATCAATGCGTAAATGGCCGAGAGAGGTCTTATGATTCATTTTAAAGCTGCTGTATTTTGTAAAAGAATTGGTTTATTTATCTTGCCAGCTGTTTAATAAATATATAGACTTGTAGTGCAGTTTGGACACATTTGACATATTTAAAAGTGGGTTTTATTCAACAACAATGAATGGAAATCGTGGTAAAAGTGATTTTGCTGCAAGAAGTAAAGCTTCAGAAAGGGTAAGTCATTGAAAATGTAAGCTTGACTAGAAATATTGCAAAATGCACAATTTATTTAATATATGCATGTAACCTTAAATAATTATATGTATCAAATATCATGTAACTTTAAATAATTATATGTATCAATATTGAATCGACCTGCAGATGACCTAAATCTAACTTTATTCACCATACAACGTCAACCTTTGGACAAACGATACAATCGAAAGTTGATGAGAGTTGCAATTCTTGATTCTGTTTGACCACCAAGTAACTCTCATTGACTCTCATGCAATCTTGTCAATTTTGAGCTGGTTCAAATTTTAACGAGAGTTGATTAGAGTTTACGCTACATGTGCAGTAATATCCAGTCAACTCTCAGTGTAACTCTTGTTCTCGTTTGACCCTGACATGAGAGTTGATAAAACTCTGATGCAAACTCAACTCTTATATTTCATTCATTCATTCATTATTTAATAACATATCATATGGCGCCAAAAGGCAGATTGCGATATTCTTACAATATAGTAAATTAGAATTACAATAGATTATAGAACAGCACATTATAATATATTATAGTATTGAATTGTATGTGTCTAAAATGTTATTATACCATGTTCCAAGAATATCTGATGTAAAGACCTGTTAGTTAATAAAATTATTAAAACACATGCTAGGAATAAAACTCTGTTTAAATTGTTCAGTTCTACATCTTGGTACAGTAAGAGTTTTATTATTACGAAGTTCATAATTATGTACATTTGCTCTTGTTTCTGGAACTAGTTTATTCAACCGTGATGTAGGCTGGCATATCTTTCTGAAAGTCTTTTTGCAATATAGCAAAGAACGATGTTCGCTCAATAGAGAGCATCCAGATAGCACCAGAGGATAGCACCAAAGCTTCATCATAATGATTTTCCGGATATATCCTTATTTGACTACCAGACTGGGCATCCTAATAATTTTTGAAAAACAGTTCATTATGATCAGCGGTAGTTTAATGGCATATACATAATACATGTAAATATGGTTGGTTCATGCAGTGGGCGTTCACAGGGAGGATACATCCCCCCCAGTATTCTTCAAGATTTATTTTCTATAATTATTTAATGAGTATCCAAATACGATGTGAAAACTGTGTGCATGTGGGGGGGTGCGGGGGGGGGGTAGAACTCAGCGAATTAGCAGACTGAAATAAAATGAGTGGAAATATTTAAGCTTAGAAAACCTCATCAACTTCTATTGTACCCTAGAATTGTGACATTCTTAATTTAAATACTGTATATACTTTTTATACTTTACTTTTAGTTTTATGTAGCTGTCCATCAATGTTATATATTTGCAGGCCTTATACATAAGTTTTGTCATGTAAAATCATGTGTTTCATGTACTTAATTATACTCTTTGGAGTTCTGTATAGTCTTACACCGTAAATACTGGTTCCAAAGTGGAAATCACATTTTAGGGACTCTACTGTAGATTTCAAAATTTTCTCGGGGGTGCTTGCCCCAGGAACCCCGTATTGATGTCTCACACTTTTGGCCCTTGACAATCCCCAATTTCATTACACTGGTGCCGCTCACTGCTATCTTGCTATCTATTGCAAACCCTGTAGTGAATTCAGTACAAAGAAGCTGCATTCATTGATCTAGACAATAAATACCTATTCATTCAAAGTATTTTTTCTTCCTATTGCTTTGCTAACAACATCTTCTATTTTCTATTATAGGCTTTTCTTTTAGTGTCTGATAGTGACGAGGATGAAGATGAAGAAATGTTAGTTACATGTTGTCTTACATACAGTATTTACCGTACTCATATTATAGCCCATGGCTGTTACACATGCTAAATATCTCTGACATAAAGTTCTCTTGATATTTTATGCTGGTGGCGTAACTCTTAGCATTGGCATATGGGAGGGAATAAATAGGGGGCAGAAATAAATTTGTCACATTTTGCCTGACTTGTTCAAAAACGTTTACGTATAAGATGCCCAAAATTCTTGTCTACAGGGGTTTCGAAAAATTTTTTGAAGGGGTTTTAAAAAATTTTCCTGTATCCATTTTCAACTATTGTCTTTAATTTAATATCTCTCGCATTTTTGACCATCTAGCATTTCTTGCTTTTTGCCCCTTCATTTATACCTGTAATTTGCTCAATGACAATTTTACTGGGGGCTCCAGCCCTATATGCTCCCCCTTCCCCTCTGCCCCATATGCCATTATGACTCTTAGTTATAAAGGGAAAAAGTTAGGCGTTTTGATCTTATTCTACAAAACGGGATTTGCTCAGGGATAATTATTATAGCATCATCAACTCAATAAAATTCTTATTTCAGGGGTCTCCCACCAGCCAGACCTTGCTCACATCACAACAGTCGTACAAAGCCAGATAATCAGTTATCTAAAGTGAAAGAAGATATCGTAACTGTGACAAAGACGATGCAAAATAATATGAATAAAGTTTTAGACAGGGGATCTAAGTTGGAGGATTTGCAAGACAAAACAGGTACAGTTATATGTACAATAGACAGCAACCTTCTTAATTATTTACAGTAAGTCTTAAGTACTGACAAATTGACACATTACATACATGTACTTTTACAAGAACTGAAATGAACATGCATGTTGAGTGTTGTAAAACTATTTACAGTGATATGACTTATTATATATTATATTAATATAGATTTACATTTACAGTATGTATTTCCATTTCTTATATGAGTAAATTTTAAAAAAATTACTAGAAGACATCTATTAAAATAGTGACGTTTGAAACGTTCGGTTTTAACTTTAGAGAGGATAAAATTATGTTCTCGTTCTTTTAAAATGCGGCGAAGTATACACGTATATACCCATTCTTTAATTCTCTTAGCCAAGATTTTTGAGACGGTCCTACTAATGGACCTATACTGTATTCCCTAATGAACATAATTTTGATCTAGACAAGTCTAAATAGAAATTTCATCACAGCTTGAAAGAACATCACAATCAAGTAATATTCCGAGTTTCGTTGCGAAATGTTATAAAATGCGGATAATATAATATAGCCCTGCAAAAAAAAGCTAGCGCCCTGGAAAAAAGGTATCAATTTCCCGTGCGTATATACTGTAAAATGACTGAAAAACGGCAAACTTCGCAGGGCTATATTATCCGCATTTTACAACTTTTCGCAATCGCACTTCGGAATATTACTAATTTTGTGATGGTCTTTCAAGCTGTGATGACATTTTTGTCTAGACTTGGCTAGATCAAAATGTTGTTCATTAGGTAATAGTCCATTATACTGCATGCCCGGGACTTCCCGAGATTTATTATATGGTAAGGCAGTATCCTCTTGTTTTATATCGTGCATGAGTACATGTATAAAACATTTTTTCAAAACATTTAGCATACTAGGTGCTTGCAGCCATTGCGCCTTTGTGTTCAGTTGTATGTGCGGCAGTTAAACAATGGGGAATGACCAGCCTGCTTTGCGCGCGTTTGCCTTTTGGAATTTTTGAAAAATATTTATGTACCATTTTAGACCTAACTGTCATGAATTTATAAAGTACTCTGACATTATTCAATTTTAACTTTATGAATTTGGTAAAAAATTTCACGATTAACAAGATACAATCCTAAAGCAAATGTTTCATTCTCAAAAACGAGGGTGTAGCCAAGCATTGGTACTTTCCGAAATTGTATTCCATCAACTAAAAATCCATATACAAAATGTAGGGCCTATTTAACCCTCTACTCAACGTATGTACGTACTGTATTCTGTTATTCAGAGGACTTAGATATGAGTGCATTTAAATTTGTCCGTGGTTCAAGGAAGTTACAGAGAAAAATGTGGTGGCAGAATATGAAAGTAAGTGCATTCGATTGACAATATTTTATTTTGCCTTGTTCTGGTGGTGAGCAGCCAATCCTAAAAGATTTATACATTCAAACAGACATGTAGTTTGAACCCCCCTGTCCCCTTCTTCGTTAAATTAAGTCGGGATGAACCCATACGCGTACGCAGCTGCCCCCAGTCAAAATGAAGTTGGACAAATTATAAACGTAAGTCGGGCAAAAATTGGGGGGTGGGGACTTATAGTAGTATAAATATAGTAGTTGAAAATACCAGAAATATGTAAAAGTAACGAGGAATGTTAACAGATTAGGGAAATTTTTTGTCGAAATTCATTGTTTTATTTCTTTTATGTAGCTCAAATTATTATTTGGATTTATCTTTCTTGCTCTGCTTGTTGTGTTAATCGGTGAGTATTTAAAAGTAGATCATTTTTCAGTCGGTGTGTCCGCAGTCCGCATGTTCCACCCAACCAAATTCAATGCGGAACTTCGAGATTTTGAGCGACGGCGGACGGCCCTTCATCAAGAAGTAACATATAGTGGACAAGTGAAGTAACTTCAGTACCCTTTGCTTTGCTTTGCAATGCTTTATTTTTAAAGAGTGAGTATCCTTTGCACGCTTGTGTTTACATTTTTAACAGGGTGTGATAATTCGCGTTCCTACGTACCGGGGGTACGCCAATATTACGGTCTGGTACTTCTTTGTTTTTGGCCAAGTACCACGCGAAACTCTTGCTATCTGCGTACTTAACTTTTTGGCACCACATGACTTTTCCAAGCAAGGTATTCAATACCGTAATTTAATTGGTATATGTGTAAATCTGACACGTCTTGGCATGAAACATGATTGGACTGATGGGACTAAGGCATGTTGAGGGCGATTGTATAGTAGTTTGAATTGACAATATACTTTTCAGAAACTTGTTCTTTATGTACTTTTTGTATAAAGACCAAGTACACATTGAGTATTGAGTCTGTTCTAGCGCAAGTACGCCTCAACAATCATTGGCGTATAGTCGTATGCCAGTCAGGTACGATTAAAAATCTTGAATTATCGCGGCCTGCATTTATATTTACATTCGGCTGTATCTGATGAATATACTTTCATTACAAACATTTTGCATAAAAAACCGGCAACATTTCACAAGATATAATGACTTACACAGGCGTACGGGGCGGGAGGTGGGGGGGAGAGCAGCTGCCCCTCGGTCAAAATGAAGTCGGGCAAATTATTAACGTAAGTCGGGCAAAAATTGGGGGGAATAACCTTAAAAGAAGACATTTGCAATATAGTATTTGAAAATTCGAGAAAAATTAGAATAACGAGGAATTTTAACGGACTAGGAAATTTTTTTACATGGAAAATTGTTTCAGCAGTAAGTCGGGCACAATGGGGAAAATTCGGGTAAATTTCCTTCCGCCCCCCCCTAATTTTCCCCCTCCCGTACGCCCTGATGAGTTACTTCCTTTAAGAAGAAATAGAGTTGTTTTTTAATAGGATTCCTATAAATATGGGGCAATACAAATTAAATCTTGGAGCGAGATCACTTAGCATGATACAGTAATCACTCTTCAAATGTATTTTTAACGAAATGCTTTACGCTTATTACATTTTTATTTCATTTTTAGTTTCATTGGTTATCAAACATAAGAAGAGCTGATTTGAGAAATGAAATAATTGCGTGGGATGATAATTAATGAAAGAACATCACCCCGACAATCAAAATAATTCTGGAATCATTCGTTCCCGATTTTCGTGCAACCGTGTTCTCCAGGCATGAAGCAGAATAGAGGTTTTATTGCGCTACACGTTGCGTTATAGGTAAAATAGAGTGCGTTACGATATAACACTGCAAAAAAAATTTTCTTGACAGGACATGCTATACCACCCGTTCCACTCGTTGCAACCAATAAATCTATTGGCGTTGTAAAGCCATTGTATGCAGTAAAGTATGTAATAAATAATCTATTCGCGTTGTAACTGAAGACAAAACCACAAGCATTGAACAAAAGTTATATACAATGTATTGGCCCTGAAAGGGAGGCTGCAGGATTGCCAATAGAAGCTGGCACCCGGCGATTTTCGCCGTCTATAGCCTAGACAATCGCCGGTTATTTCTCGAAATTACAAACCAAAATGTTTCATCCTCATCGCAGAAATGTCAAGGTAAAGGTTGTTTTGCTTTTCTAACATAAATTTTACACAATAGTCTTTCATGTTTCGTTCGCTACTCTGGTTTAAATAAATGATTACAAAGCCCAGTCGAATTGTATTCAAGACCCAACGTTTCGACACTATAGTGTCTTCATCAGGGGTGATCTAAAACTGCGATCGTGGCTTCTTAAATACCCAAGGGATGACGTCACCTGCCAAGAAGATGCATATATTCCTCTGGCAAATAGGCACCGTCATCCCTATTCAAAGCATGATGACTCATATTTGTATGCCACGCTTGATTACAATTCGACTGGGCTTTGTAATCATTTATTTAAACCAGAGTAGCGAGCGAAACATGATTGATATACCTGGTTGCAGTGAACGAACAAACTTTATCCCAATAGTCTTTGTTAAATATTTGGATAAAACGACAAAACCTCCAAAACCTTAAGGCATATTTCCAATCAGAAACATTTTCGGCAGAAAGAAAATTTTGTAAAATGTGATTGGCCGCGGAAACAAATTTTGAAGTTGAAAATTTTCAACTTTTACTACAATGATATTTTCGGGAAATTTTCGGGCCGTGGAAATTTTTCTTGACCGGAAATGGGCCTCTGCAAAATGCCATTTCAGAGGGTATAAATTTCAGAATTTTCTCAAAGAAACGCCCTCGGACCCCTCCCCCAAGCGAATGGTACATTCGGCACCACATTGCCGCCTACTCGTTATTGGGAACCCTGGGCTGGTCGGGCCGTGTCGGGGAGATTACCAACAAAAGGGTCATCAGCCCTAAGGTTAGGGGCTAGGGTTGGAGTTAGGGCTAGGATTAGGATCAGGGTTATGGGATTAGGGTTAGCGTTTGGATTAGGGTTATTGTAATTGTATAGACCCATTACAACCCAATACTTTATTGCATACAATGGCTTTACAACGCCAATAGATTATTGGTTACAACGTGCGGAACGGCTGGCTATACTGTACAATGTTTGACCAATTTCCAGTTTGGTCTTATACGTAACTCAAATTTGATGATACATAAAATTATTATCACTAATAACTATAAATGTGTCATAAGATGCGTTACGATATAACAGCAAATAAATATTTTTTCTTGACATGACATGCTATATACAGCATGTTTGACCAATTTCCAATTTGGTCGTACGTAACTCAAATTTGATGATACATAAAATTATTATCACTAATTACTATAAATGTGTTATAAGATGCGTTAAAAATATTTAATATAGAAATAAATATTTTTTCTATATGTTTGACCATTTTCCAATTAAGTCACTGTACATAACTGTAAATGTTTGGTTGGACACATAATTTTTAGTCGTTAGAGTATGCTTAAAGGGGCAGTGTCACGGCGCTGATTGACTAAAATAAACGGCGTAAAGAAACGCTTAAAATTAATGCTACATGATTGGAAAAGATGCAGCAGCCTTCAATTTTTAAAACAAAGCAAGGATGTCCTGCATAACGAAGGGATTATAAATGGTACCCGGACATTTTGCCGAAAGAAACTTTGCCGAAAGACATTTTGCCGAACGGACATTTTGCCGACGGTCATTTTGCCGAACAGACGTTTTGCCGAACGGACAGTTTGCCGAACGGACAACTTGCCGAAAATAAAGATGTTATTTCGTCAAAATGTTTGGGACTGTGACTCATTAATTTTTTCCACTGTAATTCTCAACCATTGTGTAAAATAATTAACCATTATATGGTCATTAGCAGTGCATAATGGTCATTAGCAGTGTATAATGGTTGTTAGCAGTGCGTAACACAGTCAATATGACTATTGGTAGCTTGTTTGTGCAGCGGATGAAACGTCCGTCGGCAAAATGTCCGTTCGGCAAAATGCTTTCGGCAAAATGTCTTTCGGCAAAGTGTCTTTCGGCAAAATGTCCGGCCACCATTATAAATAGTAGACACCTTAAGATTGACGTTTACGGCAAACGTCAAACCGCTAGCGAGGTTTTTGATTTTACAACTCTATTATTATTGCTTTTACACCAGTTTTGAAATATGTTAAACTTATTAAACTTGTGCTCTTTAGCAATGATTTAAGAAAGCAAATTAACCACTAGTCATGCCATTCACCAAAGCAATAAATTAAGATTTGGCGTTTGAAGTTGACGTTTGGCGTATAAATTTCATGCTTTAACGACTACAAACCCTCGTAGCAGTTCCAGCATGAAATTTATACGCCAAACGTCAACTTCAAACGCCAAATCTTAATTTATTGCTTTGGTGAATGGCATGACTAGTGGTTAATTTGCTTTCTTAAATCATTGCTAAAGATCACAAGTTTAATAAGTTTAACATATTTCAAAACTGGTGTAAAAGCTATAATAATAGAGTTGTAAAATCAAAAACTTCGCTAGCGGTTTGACGTTTGCCGTAAACGTCAATCTTAAGGTCTCTATTGATTCAGTGTTACTACAGGAGGAAACCTAAAATAAACAATTTCTATTATACTAGATAGCTCTATTAGTTTTGAATTGTTCTCCCTTTTTGGGGCATCGCTTATAGACACTTTCCAAAGTTACCAAATTTTCTTCTACATGGATAAAAAAAATAAACCTGACCTCAACCCAGGCTGCAATACTATTGTGTTGTGGATCAATATTGCCACCAGAAGAACTGTGTTTGGGCATCACCAAGATTGTCGGGGGACTTGGGTAGTTCCCAGTCAACGCTACGTCCTGAAATGATACAAAATATTTGAGAGCTTCATAAAATCTCGAATATGGGGGTCTCCACCGCAGGTAGAATCTTAAAGTAAGCCGTAAAAACACTTTGACGTTTCTGACGAGTACTTGTTATGAAATCAGTCATGCCAAATGGTGGCAGTGTTTTTGGTGTTTTACAGGTAGTTCAGACACAATACAAGTGTTTCTTTCAAGTGTCATGTTGTATGTCAGTATAATTTACGCTAAATTTCAATCTTTAGATCCAAAGAATGTTCTTGATTCTGTACGTTCTCTTACCCGACATTGAGCATAGTTGTTGCTTTCCAAAGGATGTGATGTTGAACGATCAAAAGCAGTTTTACCAAGTTCAGTAAACACTGGAAACTCAAGTCCTTCAAATGCCATCCAGTTCTGAAAAAAGTTCGTGAAAGTTAATAATTATCACTTGGTAGACATCCAGCAAAAAAGGTCATCCCTTACTGGTGCACTGTTACTGGATAGCCTTACAAGTTCCAAACCGTTCTCTCCAGAGGTCCAGTAAGATAATCTCTTAGTTTATTGCTCCAGTGTTACTACTACATGCAGGAGGAACTCTAAACTACTACCTTTATTTGTACAACCACTGACATGACATTTCGCACTACATCATTCTAACAACCTATGGTTAAAGTAATTTAAAATTGGGGAAAAACGAAAGCTTACAACTGAAATATCTTGATGAGGTCCATCAAAATTTTGCAACTCCCTCAAACACACTTTAAATGAAGTTCGTCCGACGTCTTCCAACCACACCGAGGCTGCGTCATGTTTCAAACTCTTTCTGTGATGTTCTGCCGTCACCAGTACGGTTGGTATGGTCGAGAATCTTGCCTGGGATTATATCGAGAGAAATAACGAGAGAGATATGTTCAATTTTATTTCTATCTTAAACGCACGTAAAAGTCTCGCATCTTGTCGACAAAATGCATGTTTTCGCTACATTCTCGTAGCGAGCTTGTCAACAAGTTATAACAATGATAATATTGCTATTTTAGTCAAGTTATTACTGACAACTTGTTGACAAGTCGTTGACTTCAGGACGATAACAGGCTATTCGAACAGCTTGTAACAAGTCTGTTGAATCAACAACCTTGTAGCAAGTTGCCAACAAGCCGTTCGCAACTTGTCAACAAGCTGGGAACAAGCAGTGCGAATACATCCTGATAACAAGTTGTTGCAACATACCGCAGACACAGCAACTGTTTGGCATTTGGTTCCAGTCCACCAATATGGAATTGACACCTTCCCTGCCAGACCTTCGCTTGGTGCCCCCTGATAAGCCATCCACTCCAGAGTCGCCTCTCCATGTGGGGGTCCCTCGTTTCTCCCCGACTCCATGACGCAGAACGAGAATCCATTAACATTCACATTTTCTACCCATGCCACCGCGGCGTCATGCACTCGGTCGGACTGGTTCACGTGACTGACGCTAACTTGCACGTGGACAACTTTGTCGGGGTAGAATGTCAGAGGCTCGAATCGAACACTTTGACAATGTGACTCTGACCATTCGGGAACTTCCTTCACTTGAATACGACCTCTTCTCAAAGGAAAACCTAAAAAAGGGCACATCAGGGCTAAATGCAACTTTACAGGTTAACTACGCACGTAAAAATCTCACAACAAGATGTGTTCGCAACAGACTTGTAGTAAAATGTTTGAAAATGTTTATATCCCACCTCTACAACTGCCATGATGGTAATATGAATAGTTCGATCTCGTCTGACAGACGTCCAGTTGGTAGAGACACGGATTATTGTAACTCTTGCCATGTGACGCACACAGATTTTGTTCAGTCGAAGGACAGTTGGTGACGCAAACGCACCTCGCGTCGTAAGCACCAAAGGCACGGCACACTGCGAACTTATCACACGTTACGTTCAAGCAAGGATCACGACCTAAAAGAACAGAAAAAGTTAAAGGGTCTTATCACCTCGGAGATTATCATGGCCGGATATTGAGGGGAGGTGTGGGGAGGTGCACACCTCCCCTGAGATTCACCCCTTATGTATATAACTGAAAAATCACAATACCTCCAAGGGCTGCATAATCCACTATTATTGGTTCATATCGTCCACTGATCCCAGGTAAAGCTTTCACACAAACCTCAAACCCTGTTCTGGTGACAGCCTACAAAATAGGAGAGCAGTTTAGAATTGATAGAGCTATCCACTATAAATAATATAAATTTAAGTTAGTTTAGGTTTTTTCCTGTAGTAACACTGGATCAACAGGAGATGATCCTTACTGGACCTCTAGGAAGAACAGTTTGAACTGATAGAGATGTCCAGTATAAATAAAATTAGTTTAGTATAGGTTTCCTCATGTATAGTAACACTGGATCTATAAGAGATGATCTTTACTGGACCTCTAGGAAGAACAGTTTAAAACTGATAGATCTATCCGCTATAAATAAAGTTAGTTTAGTCTAGGTTTTCTCCTGTAGTAACACTGGATCAATAAGAAATGATCCTTACTGGACCTCTAGGAAGAAAAGTTTAAACGTTATAGTGCTATCCAGTATCAATAAAGTTAGTTTAGTTTAGGTTTCCTCCAGAAGTAACACTGGATCAATAAGAAATGATCCTTACTGGACCTCTAGGAAGAAAAGTTTAAACGTTATAGTGCTATCCAGTATCAATAAAGTTAGTTTAGTTTAGGTTTCCTCCAGAAGTAACACTGGACCTCACAAAGGTAGAATATGTACAGCTCTCAAATTCAGTCAATAAAAAGAACATGTGTCCTACAGTACCTTGACCCAGGCTACGATGTTTTTATCGGTAAAAGACAAAAGCGACGAGTTCGCGACTTGACTTCTTCTTGGGCTGACCAGAATATCCGGAGGTGAAAAGTAACGCGTACTGAAGTTTTTAAACTACAGAAAACAAAAACAAGTTTTAGTACCACATGCATGCAAGTAAGCGCTCGCATTTAAATGACAGACTGATAAGAAATCGGGGCGTTTGCAGCACAATCTGCGATCGGGGTTTCATTCAAGAAAGTTAGTTCAGTTTAGATTTAATTTTATAGAAGAATCACATTGAAAAGAAAGTTGGGAATGGAGGAATCTCATCAACCGACTCCGATCAATTTTGAGTTTTTCGGAAAGTTGATGAGAATTTGTTGTATACGCGTGTAGTATATTCAGTCACCATTCATCAATCCTCATGCAACTCTCGTTTGACTGGAGCACGAGAGTTGAGAAAACTCTGATGCATGCAAATTCTCGCTTCTCAACTGTCATCTTCATTTGACCACGGGTTTGTCGTTTTACAGTGCATATACCTGGCAATACGCGTAATTGTCTTCGGCTGAAGGTTCAATATCGTTCGGGAAGTAAACTGAATCGACGTCTGTCATATTCGCGAATTTCTGTTCCATCGCCAACCAATCCTGTAAAATTATAGAGAACCAGGACGTTCAAACATATAGTATGTTATCGCTGTTGGGATAGGAGACAGAGTTGAAAAAATGATGGGGTAAAGCCATCACAGGCAAGCGAAACTGGGCTGTGGCTATCAGAGTGTCTCCAGGTTGGGACGAAAACAAAATTTATTCATTACTTACAGCATATAAATCTTCGTGCTTTCCAGAAAATGAAATCATTTCTCGTAGACAAACGTTAAATCCACGCGGTGTTACATTTTCCGACCAGAATGTCATTGAATCTTTCCTCCGAGTTCGACCTTCATGTCGGATACTGATGAAAAGTCTTGGATGCCTCGAGAATTCCTGAAAATTTAAAGTGATTTATTTCTTCGAATCATTTAAGGTGTTTGGTGGCAGAGTTAGGCTACGTTTACACTTTCCGTATAGCGACGTGAAAAACACCTATATCCGTACCTTTTAGGAACGCTATTTTCAGAGGAATTATTGCAACAGAGAGATGTTGTTTCGCTCAGCTTCTGAAACTTGTACATTCCGTATCAGATAGGTGCTTTTTCGCGCCGCTACGGAAACCTATCTGGTAATAAGGAATAGTTTAAACGTAGCCTTAGTAAGTACAGTAAACAAGCAAGCTAGCAAAGCAAGCAAAAGCAAGCAAGCGGGAGTATGCTAATGGACCTTTCCCCTTATAACTAAAATTTCGATTTGGACAAAAATTTCACCACAGCTTGAAAGAGCATCACATAATTAGTAATATTCCAAAGTTTTGTTGCAAAATCTTGTAAAATGCGGATAATATAGCCTTGCGAAATTTGCCGTTTTTCAGTCATTTTGTATTACAAACGGGAAATTGACATCCGATTCGGGTGTTGGGGCTGCAATTTCCCATTTGTAATGCAAAATGACTGAAAATTGCAAACTTCGCAAGGCTCTATTTTCCTCATTTTACAACATTTCGCAACGAAACTTTGAAATATTACTAATGTTGTGATGCTCTTTCAAGCTGTGATGAAATATTTGTCTAGACTTGCCTAGATCAAAATTTTGGTTATAAGGGGAAAGGTCTATTACCCTTATTTGCAGTTGAGAGCTAAGCAGAATTACGAAGGACGCAGTGTAAACCTGACTAGTCGAAGGCTTTCTAAGGGCGCCTTTGGCAGCCACATTATGAGTCATGTCTGATGACAGCCTGTGTTAGTCTTGTTGGAACATCTTGAATAGAAACTTGCTAGAAGGTGGTAACAACTTGTTCCAGACTTATCACGGAGTACAGCAACGTTGGATGGGTCGGTTAGGGACAATCCCAAATCAGGGGCATTGCCCAACCCTCCCTGTGGAAACCGTTATTCCTATATACTTTACCTGTGGGAATGTGACGTTGGTACATGTACTTCCACTTGTGAAAACGCTAAATGGAGCGCTTCCTGTTTGTGTACCCGGCGGTAAATGTCTGTCACTGAACGCGAACCAATTGATTGTCATCAACCCAGTCGTCTGGGCCGGCTCCATCACACACACCGAGAAGAAAACGTCATTTATTTCATCCACGATAACGACCGATGCTTCGTTGCCGTTTGCCGGAGTACTTTCAAAACTGGTCGAAGGGAATACTCTTAGTCTTCCTTTTCCTTGAAATTGAGCGGGGAATGTGACGTTTCCACAGTAGAATCCATCTGCGTGTGTTTCGGTGATGTTTGTCTTCCCGAAACGATGGTAAATGACCGACTCTAGGAAGGATATGCAAAGACAATGTTCAAATGACTGTAAGAGATTTATTCTGTTTACTCGCAGGGGATGAAGAATGCAATCTAGTTGCCTTTTGCGCTGGCATACTTTTTAAAACACTTAATTTTATCCAAGAAAGATATTAGCAATTCCAGAAAACACAATATTGAATCTTTCTTGACTTTGTAAGCTTATTTAATTAACTATAATTAAGGGCTCATATATAGTGATTGTCCTTTGCAATCTAAGACTAATTTTGCTGTTTCTGTTTTAAACAGAATCACGCCGTTTTGCCCGAGTTTTGAAAGCGTTCATCGTGTTTAAATCAATAGTTTTTCAAGGTGTTGTAATGAATAGACAACGTTAATTTTCAGCTGTATATTTCTACAGTGATCGTTTTCTCGTTTAGTGTGTTTTAAGCTAAGTGAGTTGTCTCTTTTCTCTAGTTATAGCACGATTTTATCCAACAAAATGTAGACATTTACCTTCTTTTTTACTTCTTACGCTTTGCAATCTTGCAGCAAAAAGAAGCAAGAGAAACGCGAACAACATCTCTCTGAAAATTTACCTAAAATACATTAATTGTACAACAGTTTCCGTTTGAATAAAACCTATAAAAATGCAAAAAAGAATTATTACCTTTCGCACAGAAAACTTCTCTTCAATAATTTCTTAGTTATTTTTCCAATGCGTTTAGATAAACTGTGAACGCTGCTTTGATTTTTGCTCGCTTTTATACCTTACGACGCGCCCTCTTTACAAATAAAGTAAAAGAGCGTGATAAATTTTAATTAGTTTTAAAACTTTCAGAGTCATTTCCGAGAGTTTGAGTGTAACACTTTAGCTTAATTTGCGTGACCTTTAATTATAAGAATTTTGAAAAACAATTCTGAAGACATTCGTTTCATTTAAATTAGTTTTCGAGTGGAACGCTTGAAAAGGCTTTGAACTCCAATTATGAGAATCACTTTTAAGAAAAAAAATTTATTGTTGCATGTTGAAAAGCAATTATAATCACTTGTAAATTGTAGAAGACATTTTTTATTTAAATTATTTTCAGATACCCTTTCGACTTTTATGAGAGTTTAGTGGAAGGCTTCGGTCTTGAGAAATTTAATTTGATTTATAATTGGGTGTTCAAAAAGCAAAAATTACATTTGTAAAACTCGTTAATAATTCATAAAGAAAACACAAAATCATGAGCTGATACAGAACCATGCTGATTTATATAAACTAAGTTTCATTTTCTCACCAAGTATCATTCATTTATTTTAAACTGTTGAAGAATACGAATGTTCTCACCGAGACGTATAAGCATTCTCATGCTTTATCTATCTATAACTGTACTTGTAAAATATCCAAATTAGTCCACTCATAGTCCACTTGACCTTCAAATGGTATACACAAGCGTCGAATATAATTAAACTATACTTGAGGTATATGAAGAGCAAAAAGTACTTAATCTCTGAGAAAACTTTAAGTTTGGATAACCTGAAAAAATAATATGTGCTTGTGATCGACACACTAGCATTTAAATTAAAAGAGTATTAATGCTAACTATAGAGTGTGCACAAGATTTTTACCTCGATTTTTGCATTCAGTTGCTCTAGTGAAAAATGAAAAGGGTTACCCATTAGGGAATAGCCCTGGACCCAGTCTTGGAAAAAAAACCAGTTTAGAACTGATATAGCTACCCAGGGGTGGATCCAGCAAGGTTTTTGTAGGGGGGTGCTGGGTAAGCCGCCGAGTGTTTCTTATTTAGGGGTGGTGGGAGAATATTCAAATGAAGTGGCTTCCTAACGACTCGAGTGCCGAAGGCATGGGCTCCCTAGGGGTCCAGCGGTATGCTCTCGGAAAATTTTGAAAATTAGAACACTAGAAATGCCTTTTCCTGCGATATGGGCATTGAATTATGAGCTTCAGTTTGACTTCAAAAAAGGAAAAACCTTGGAAATTATGCCATATTCTGAATTTGATTACTTTGCACCCCCCTTGCACCCCTGCAGTTGACCAAGGCCAACAGGGGTGCGCAACCCTGTGCACCCCCTATAAATCCACCCCTGTAGCTACCCAGTATCAACAGAGTTAGTTTAGGTTTAAATTCCTCCTTTAGTTAACACTTAATAATAAGAGATGGTTACAGGAGCTCTATGGAAAACAGTTCACTGCACAAGAAAGTATAAAGTTAGTTTCTGTTGCACCCGTACAGAACATCAACTTTAATTTTAATTTTGGCGTCACCCAAATACTGCACTATTTGTATTGACACAGAACAAGACTTTTTAATATAAACATCGATTTATTTTTGTTCTATATCGTTGCGATCACTCTGATTGATGGAGTTCCATTCAACTTGACGAATCTACTGTACATAATTATGTATTGTACTGGCCACATTGCTCAGTTATTCCTCATTCCTTGTCTTCTGTCGTTGTATTTTCGTTATTCGCATTGTCCTGTGAAGCTGGCCTCACCTAGAACGAGTTGACCATAGTCATACGTAAGTCAGGTTAAATGTTTTCACATATATAGAGGATATTACACGGCGGCGCGAAGATATGACTTTTATCTTCGAGTGCTGTGTTGGTGTTGTGTACTCAGGTGAATATGATGTTTGTGATGTTACTCTGAGTGTATATCCACACTGGGCGAGCTTGAAAAATATTGTTTTTAACACGAGAGGATAAAAGACATATCTTCGAGCGTAATGTTCTGTTTATTATATAGTCCCAAGCAAAAAATTGAAAAAGTCACGTGATCGATATGGAAATTATCTCACTGTGTATTTTCAGTATCTCACTCTCTATACTATATAATAAATATATACATAGGTTTTAATGATTTGTGTAAATTTAAGATATATAACGCTCATATTCATAATGTAAAAACGTAACAGAACGGCGAACATGCAGATTCGGCCATCTCAAATGATGGTATAATGTTGTTGTTGGGATAGTAGCGTTACAGACTGCAGAGGAGAGTGGGCAGTAAGGCTCCCTCATGCACCAACCCACGGAAAACCTGCAACCCCTCCCTGCAGACGCCCCCGGGTCAAATCGGTCCCGAATTTTCACTGACCTGTTCCTGCGGTTTATCGTTCTGTTCCTCACTTTGCGTCGGATTTTGATCAACTATTTCTTCGACGACCTCCTCGGCTGGAACTTGATCGATTGGCTTCTCTACTTTCACTTCTGTTGAAAATTATTATTTCATTTGATGAGAAGGTCAGCAAAACGTAGGGCGAATTGAAATTACATTTTATAATGGCAAGCAGAATTTTCTTATTTACAGTAGTATAAATTTTATTCTGAAGGGCAAGCAATGGAGAAGAACATATAGCGGTTACACAGCTGGATTTATACTTTATATTTAATCGAATAGCTATTTTCTTCTGCAGAAACGGATATATCATCTTACAAGTATTACCTTTATCATCATCAACTTGTTTCGCTTTCTCGCTTCTCGCTCCGCTCGCTTTGAAGACGTTGTCGTGTGATCTTTCACGAGTAACTATAGCTTCGTTATCGTCAGGTTTTTCATTTCGAGTTGTGCTTTCTGTCTTCCGTTCGTTGTCTACTGCTTCTTGTCCTTGATTATCTGCAGTAAGAAACAAAATATTGAAAACAATTTTACTGTCAACGCATGCTCTCTAGTTGTATATTTTTATTAAAAATTATTGAAAAAAGAAAAGCTTGTAACACAACGCTTAAATTTTACCATTTCTGTCCTCCTTTGGCTTCGTAGTTTCCTCTCTTCTGGCCGTCGTGTTTCCGAGCTGTTGTGTTGTTCGTATCGTGTTGGCCGTCGCTGTTTGTATCGTGCTGGACGACTCGTGAGTGTCCAAGGATTTTCCTCTTATTTCGACTTTTTTACTGTGTCCCTCCTCGTACTTTTGCTAAAAAGAATCGTCAGCAGTTAGACAAACTTAAATGACAAAGTAGGACACAATTGAACGCATTCATATAGTTCACCTTCTCTTCTGTTTTTGATGGTAACCCGAAGCTTTTCCTCTTCTCGAAAACTTTGTCTTTATATTTTACTTTTGCCCTAAAAAATTGGGAATAATTACATAAACTTTCAGTTTATTCATTGTCGCACAAATTCTGATAGTTTTGGTAAAATTCCTTTGTGCAACATTAACACATGCATTATTGAGCGCCAGTACATTCATGTTCTCCTCTTGATGAGTAAAATCGTCTGGCGTTAGACAGAAAAATAAAGTACAATAGGGCGCAATATGGATGCTACGAACGAAGAGTCTTAAAATGCAGCCAACGACTGGTAGATCTGACGGAAGCCATTAATGTTCTGTTTGACAACGTACCTCCGTGGCGAATTGTTCGGTGAAATTTTCTGGTTGTCGTTATAATACACTGTTCTTTTAAATCTGAACAAAAAGTATGCATCAGTTGTTGATGTCAATATCGTTTGTATAAGAAAGACCTGATAGCGTTGCTAGCTGTTATACTTGTCAGAATCAACATAGCTCAGTTTAGTTTTGTTTATAGTCCAGTATATATAGCTTTCCCAATTAACTTCTTGACAAAGCGTCTTTGTTTGAAACGAAGAACTTTATTTGTAGTTTCTCACATGCAAAATGAACAAAAAAGGTTCTCAACCTTGCATTCATTTCATCTATACACCATGGATCTCTTCGGTAATCGTAATGTACGTAATAACTAACAGATGAATATAACGATGAAGAAATAGACAGGTGTTTAAGGAGAAGGTTTGGCAAGTGTTTTTATGCTAAAAAGCTGCCGCTATATAAAAACTTCAAATTGTCAATCATACAATGTCGAAAATAAAAGCTATAGTGCCATGGCCCACAGTCTTAAGTCGGCCAGTGACACTTTCTTTACACAACATACTCGCAACGCGAGGCCCATTTCCACTGAAGAAACATTTCCACGGACAGAAAATTTTCCAAAAATATCATTGCAGACATTGTTACAGTAAAAGTTGAAAAAATTTTCAACTTCCAAATTCTTTTCCGAACAAAATTTTCTTTTTACGAAAAATTTTCCTGAGTGAAAATGGACATTGAAGGGATGTTGCAAATTCATGCGCTAGCAGCAAAAATTGCCTCGTGTCACGAAATTTGTCATATTTGTCAATTTGTCACAGTTCTGCTGTTGAAATACAAATTATTTACCTTTTCCCATGTCCTACTGCGACATATTTTTCTCCGCTGACAAGTTCTGATGTACCGTTCACTTCCTTGCCCAACAAAGTGTACAGACTAAACGAGAAATATATATAATTATCTATATAAAAAATCAACTTCAACAATAGTTTTTCACATTATATAGTATTAATTAATCAGTCCTTGTTTGTGATGATCAGTTTTGTATATATCCTACAACAGTGAACACTTACGCAAAAACCGCTCCACTTTCCAGTTTTACCCTGTCTGTAACAAGCTCTAAAACCTATACACAAAAAGTATAAGAAAGAAACCATGGAAATTTGATGTGTGTTAAAGTCAATTCGTTGCAATGCATCCCACAATTTTATTTTACTCTGTCTAACACCAGATGATCATGCTTTTACTTGTCAAGGGGAGAGCACATATGCTCAATGGGTTAATGCACCTGCTTCATTCCTTTCTACTTGATTTTGTCTAAATTACTGATCTGCAATGACGTATATTGCATACAATGTCATGTACCTGTATGTGTATATTTGCTGTACATGCCACTGTTACCTTGTCCATGTTTAACAAAGTTCTTCTGTCCAAGAGAATCTTGTGTGATGGATATTTATCATCACCATTGCGATACACACTGAAAAATTCATTTAGAATGTATCATGAACGACATTCTCCAGGGCAATGGGGGTGGGACCATAGAGATTATAAATAACACTAGAGGAGGCATCGAGTTTAAAAATTGGGAACACAGCTAATTTTTTTTCAATTGAAATTCAAGTCCCGGATATAAAATCGTGCTCTCATTGGCTGATTTGAAACTCATCACCAATGGGAACATGAATACACATCCGGGACATGAATTTGCCCCCCAATAGCCGTGTTCCCTTTTTTTACTGAATTAAGATTACAATGCCTCCTCTAGAACCTCTAGTGTTATTTATAATCTCTATGGGTGGGACGGGGAAGATGTGGCCTGCTCAAAGTGCTCCGGGGGTGTTTTCAGGGGGGAGGCAGTCACATGCAATGGAAATTCAGGGGGGGGGGGGAGGATTTTCACCAGTAGATTTATTTAGCAGATTTTTGGGGAGAGTTGCAGAAGTGAACGGCCTGTACATCAGCTTGGATTTTCAGTGGGAACATTCCTTTACCACCACACAGCCATCAAAATATCTGTGAACAATCATGAACATTTTGGTAAATATAGGTTGTCATTCTCTTCCCGAGAGAGAAGGGCGGGGGTGAGTGGGTGGCTGTGCTATATATTACCTGATTCAGAACAATCAAAGGGATAACATTTTTCCACACAGTAATGAACTTACTATATTGTTTTAAGTCCTGATGATTCCCAAAGTGCAACCTTTCGACATCGTGCTGACATCAATATTCGACTGTGTTTAACTGGTTCAATCTACATTGCATAGAATTAAATTACGGTCCAGTGCAAGATACATACTACCAATGTCTTTCTCACCCTGCCCCCTTTCCAGAAACATTATGTTCGGTACATTAATTATAGGTGCACAGAGGGAATTGGCACATTAGGCCTAGCGACAATATATTTTTTTTTTTTGGGGGGGGGGGAGGATCGAGATATCGACATGTAAAAAATTCAAAGTCTTTGTAAAGAATCTGTAAAATCTCAATGCAGGATGTGGCATTGGGTCCAATCACTCAATCCCGGTGAGGTCGCAGAAGCATCCCTCAGCCGAACCCTAATTAAACTCCACCAATAACAATCACTCATCTTCACTTCATGTTAATTCTTTATAATTCAAAACAAAACAGCACTCATAAACTTGTAACACGGTCCAGACAGGTCTGCTATTACTGTACACCAAAATTTTCTTCTTTGATAAAGGAAGTGCCTATTTAAAGGTGATCTACCGTCCGATCTGCGCATGTGCACAAATGAGCCCACTTTTTATGATACAAACAGTTTAACTATGTTTTGAGTTCTTGAAAAGCCTGACTGTTGTTTCTTGATAATTTATTATACTCTAGAAGCTTGAAAATATAAATAGTTGTCGAATAAAGCTCAATATTTTGGACACAAAAATGTAAACAAAGGCTTTGTTTACATACGGACTGTAGATCACCTTTAAGGATCCGATGGCAAAATTACATGCAGAAGATCTTTGGGCACGCATGGCAAACTTGTAATAGCATTCTGAAACACAGTTTATAATAACATCTGCACAAAGACAATGAGCTCAAATGACCCTATTCATTATTAATTACTACATATACAATATACTTAATTGTACATTTCTTTTCAACAAAATGCAACATCCAATACAATTTAATCCAACTAGTATAATAACTAAAAAATTTGAATGCTTGGGCCAAGAATTTTTTTTCATTATAGCAAAACTTTTCCCTTCTTAAAACTTGAACAAAACGTGTTTAAAAGAGCGCAAGAAACGAAATTAATATTTAATTTCGGATTAGTACAACGGGGCATACGTAATTAATGTGTGTGCTTGCTTTAATTGCAAAGGTAAACAAACTTTTTGAAAAGATTTATTAGCTGCCAAAATCCACGTACCTTGATTTGGCGATGTTGTATCACAGGCCTACGAATACGAATACTTCCATATCTATAAAAGTGAAATAAATTTAAAAATTGGGAATAAATCTAGCAAACGATTGCCCAAAAGCAACATTACATTATTACAATATAAACAAGGTCAAAACATTGATAATTTTATTACGGTACTTACTGTAAATTTTTGAATCCTTCTTGGCCGACCGCCACGTAGGTTTCACCCGAAATTAGTTTTGTAAGGTCTTCGATTTTATGTCCTTTTTTCGGCGTACACACTTTCCTGGCAGCATTTCGCATTCTTGTGGCTTGAGTGACCCGATCAAGAAACGCATCCATACTTCGGATATCCCGTGGGTTAACTACAACGTTCACAGGTGGGAAAAACCCATCGCCATTTCGGCACATTTTTACACATTTCGTGGTCATGTTTCGACCACAGACGGTGGTAGGATACCTCCAGTAAAGCTCAACGTTGAGTAATTAAAGATCGCACTTGTTTAAGCACAAAAACGTAGCATTTTTTTTCAAAATTTTTAAGTTCATTTTATATACATTGCCTTTGTTTTGAAAGTCAGGCGATGGTTGCCGCAAAGACTCTTGGATGTGTTATTGGTCGCTATGGCAACTGACGCATTAAATGCTCATTTTTTAAGGTGGCTTTGTGCTGTGATTTGTGGTGGTATAATATAAATCTCTGGCAATAAATAGCTTTAATTATTTTTACAGGATGGTTTGCCAAGAAATCCAGCGAGGATCATCTCGTACGATTACGCACGGAAAACTATCGAGGATATTTAATTTAATGGAGTCAACTATTCTTTTTACCATCAACTAAGGCGCCCCATTTTAATCTGTCATTCGCGACCAATATAACCACTTTGAATGCATGTGCATGAGAAAATAATTTATTCTCTCGCTATATACCTATACACGCTAAAATTTCTACATGAGCTATCACTATATAAAAAAGTTAAAATGTAAAAATTTCATTTCAAATTCATGTTCATTTAAAATTAATTTATTTGACTGAGACCAAATCGATCGACGATGGCGTACAGAATTAGTCCACAATCACTGGCAGTTCCCTGCAAGCTGAGGGTTCTGATGTTTCTGATTTCCGTCCAAAATCCCTGGAAACCGGGATGGGTTTTTTCGGGAAAAGTTTCTACTCGCAGAGTGCTGGGCCAAAGCTATTCGTATCAAGAACCGCAAAAGTATTCAACTTTTACAGATTGTGATTTTCAGGGTTAATTTTAAGGATTTCGGTTTTGCGATCTTTTAGGATTAGATTTAATTTCAGAATTTCCGCATAATTTTTGGCACACGAATCAAGATTTTTCGACTAAAAAGAGATAGTAAAGTAATTTCGTAACTATTTCATACGACGGGCTTCTGACTTGGATAATTTAGAGTTTCTTTGTTTGGTGTAACTCCATGGATAACTTTCAATTTTTCGATTAATTCTTGTTTCTCGTCCGGCGGTAAAAAGCATGACCTTGCGGCATTGAACGTCTGGAAAAATAAAATGTGGTTTTCATTTGATAAATAAATTTATTTATAGTGGATAGCTCTGTCAGTTCTAAACTGTTCTCTCTAGAGGCCCAGTAAGGATCATCTCTTATTGATCCAGTGTTACTACAGGAGGAAACCTATAAAACTATTAAAACTAACTTTATTTATACTGGATAGCTGTATCAGTATCTAAACTGTTCTTCCTAGAGGTCCAGTAAGGATCATCTCTTATTGATCCAGTGTTACTACAGGAGGAAACCTAAACTAAACTAACTTTATTTATAATAATGGATAGCTATATCAGCTCTGTCAAGCTTACTTACTGCTTTGGTCAACAATGCAGCGGTGAAATCCATTTTATTAAAAGCTACATCAAATTCAGCTCTCATATTGGTTCGACAAACCAACATGTCGTCTGTATTCAATGAAAAATTTACACCATCTTCTGCGAATCTACAGAAAAACAGAAATAACATTTTAATACTCCAAGCTGTTTTATGAATAGTATTTAATGGAGTTGAGACAGAGGATTTGTGCACGGTGAGTTACAGTTCAACATCAAACAAAGTTCTTCTATTTTGTGGCTTTGCCGGGATTCCAGACCATCTTATCTCGACAGACTATGCTTATTCCACTCGTAGCAAGTGGCTTTCAAAATCTATTTATCTTTCTAAGATCATTTCACAGATTGCACTTACTTTATGGCAGGGTGTTTTTCAATTGGTTCAGGAACTGCTCCAGTTAGAATACTTGAAGTAGGACACAGCTAAGAGAAAGATATTTAATATTTGTTATATGTTTACGGCAAGAAACCGAATTACTGTATATGTTAACATACGTACAGTACAGGGCTGCAAATAAATATTTGACTTGACAGGACATTTGTCCGATCACTTTTAATTTTGGTCGGGCATAACTTGAATTTGGTCGGACATGACCAACACCACTAAATTTGGTCGGACATATACAGTATACGTTACAAGATATATATAAGTCACGAAACTAGTATGTATAGCCATTCCGGCGCAACGTTAAGTAAAATTATTATGCTAGAATGCCTCGTAAATTTTATTGCAAAATGCAAATTGAGTGAATCTGCAATCGGATTTTGTCACAGCAAAACAATGTATGTGACAATTTTTTTTTTTGTGATCGGACCAATGTCCGAACCAATGTCCGATCAAAATTACTTTTGCTCGGACATTTGCCAAATTTAGTGGGACATTGTCCGATGTCCGACAGTAATTTGCAGCCCTGCAGTATGTTATCCAAAAAATATCGATTACTGGCTAACCATCAGAATTTTGGGCATCTCGATAGAACTAACTGTTGAAGATTTTTGTTGATGGAAAATGCAACTATAGGCCCCTGGCAAGAATCGAATCTGCGATCCTGTGATTCCGGTGCAGTGCTCTAACCAACTGAGCTACAGAGAGACAGCTGTCGAGCTCTAACCAACTGAGCTACAGAGAGACAGCTGTCGAGCTCTAACCAACTGAGCTACAGAGAGACAGTTGTCGAGCTCTAACCAACTGAGCTACAGAGAGACAGTTGTCG